CATCAAGATGCACTAGAGATGAAAATTAAAAATCTTACATTGCAATTGTGTTTCTGCATGACATGTTTTTCTCATATAGACATTAACAGTGCAACATGAAGATGCAACAGGATGAAAAAGGAAATAGAAGAATGCAGATAACACTGCTAGCTTAATGATTAAAACAAAACAATACAGTATCAGCCACACATGCATTAGTAGACCAAGTAAGATATTTCAACTGACCATTACTGTGGGTTCTCTTCTGAGCCTACGTAGGCTTTGAATAAAACATTAACAATTATCTTTTAAAAACAAGTTTTAACCCCATTATGATCAAATTAAATATGACTAAGTAAGATCAATTGACAAATGAAACATTCAATTGATCATGAATTATGAGCCAGAACTTGGCCTAACTGTAAGACTGGAACAGATGATCTTGAACACTAATTTTTAAAAAAAACATCTAAGTTACACCCTCCCTTAATTTTTTAGTAGTAGCTATTAAAACTATTGCATTCAAAACTAGGGTTAAAAATGCTTGTGTTAAAATGCATACTTAAATTAGCACAGTAAAAGTAGTTGACTGAAACATCCTAGATTAACATATTTCTGCCACCTGTTAATTTTCTTCAGATCCCTGGCTATTTGGATAAGAAAATGTAAAACTGCATTTGGAAAAATACAAATCTTAGTAAATAGCAAGACAGTCTGGTGCAGTGGGCCTTAATAAATATATCTGATGAATGATTATGCATCGTGAGTATCTAGATTCACCACACAAGCTACACCTTAACACTGACCTACACAGTTTGCTTTTACAGGCCACTTTTCATGAACATATCTAAATATCATCTGAAGAAAAACAGTGGTCTCCTTGTTGTACAGCTAGGAGAAGCAGCACAGAATAGTGGCCTGATTCACCTGTCTGGTCTCCTAAGGCCAACAGTGAAGCAGGAAGCAGAACCCCATCACTCTGAATGCCAGTCCAGGGCTCTTCCCACTTCACAGTGCCTAAGTAGGGGCAGCTTCTCCAAAGGTGTCCTTTTGTTCCTTTTACATCTAGAAGCCTCTTGCTGGGAATGAATGCAGTCTGTATTGTGCAAGAATTAGTAGGGGAATACACTCAAAATCACTGCTCTGAATTTATGTTTGCTTCATTTCTGATGCATTTCTATTATTGCTATAATAATGGAATAAAAAAGAACAGTACAAACTTCAAATTTTCCATGAAGTACCAAACACTTACCGAGCTTATACCAGGTAAATTCAAGAGATAGCCAAGAACTGGAACTCTTCTAATAAAGCCAACCACCACAGGAAAGAACCCCCTTTAGGTAAGATATCAGAAGGCTGTATTAGTTTTTATAATTAAACTATTCTTATATTGCTGTAAAGTGAAGAAATGAGAGATTTTTTTAAACCAAGATTACATAAAATCTTGCAGCTTGTTAGCAGCACATTAATTGTACCAAATACATCAACATACATTCAGCAGGGAAAGGAGAAAACAAGGAAACAACCACCTTATTTTTAAATGAACTTATTTCTTCATAGCTAGAGACTCTCAATCAGCTCTTCAAAAAGGAAAGCAAAAAAAAAAAAAACCCAACTAAAGAAAGAATACCCAATTTAGTCAACAGAACTCATACTCCCAACTCATTTCTGAAAATTACCATACATATTTAGAGACAGCTGCTTTTTACATTATAAGAAATATATTATTGCAATACTCAATGTAAAAACAATTGAGGCTAATTTTGAATAATTCCCTTTGATACTATATATGGTACTCTTTACATTAACTAAAGAAAATTAAAACATGACAGTTGCATATTACTTATTTCACAGATCACGTAAAGTCAGAGATTTGAATCACAAGTCAGTGTGTTGCCTAGCACAGTTGCTATGGTGTAGCCCCCTGCACTGTCCACTTGGTCTGTGCAGCAGGAAAACAAGTTTTCTGTGGCAATACCTCAGCTGTTTGCAGTCAATCACAGCAATTCAGCTGGTGGTGGCATTCTGAGCTCTCTCTTGTTCAGCTATACATTCCCTGCATAGAATAAGTATTAATGTGTAATGAGATTTCAGCCACAATGAAACAGTGAAGTTTTGCAAGTCATCATCCTCTTCACTGCACTGGTTAAGAACAATTTGCTGGGTAATATCAATACTAGTAATTTTTTCCTGGAGATTTTATTTTTCTTTTTTTAGAGACTGCATCATTTCAGAGGTCCAGTAAATTGTGATGCAGGGCACACAAACCACTTGTAACAAATTAAAACTGCTGTAGCAAAAAATAAGGAATAATCAGTACAGGAAGGATAATACTGCTAGCCATAACCTTGGATGCCTGTAATCTGAACAAGGCTCCAAAAGCAGCTCAGAGTACAAGAGATACTGTCTCATAATAGTCTTCTCCTGTGAATGCAACCTGAGCATGTGAAAGTACGGCAAAAGACTAAACTTCTGATGGGAAACTTGTGGCAGCACCTTAAAGACTAGAAGGAAGAGATATTCTAGATTTAAACCAGGGTAAACTAATAATTGTGCGTCTCACTTCAGGCAGATGCATCCTTAAAAAAAACAACAACAACAAACAAACAAACAAAAAAAAAAACACAAAACAAACCAAAACCCAAACAACAACAAAACCCCAACAAATGACAAAATAAAAACCACTGCAATCCTGTCATATATTTATTCTTAGATACACCAATACAGAAAAGTATTCTGAAAGTCTTACCTGAATAACAGGAAGAACCCATAAATTTCAAGGATCATTCCTATTAAAGGCCAACCAATGAGAACTATGAGCACACCGCCAAGGAAAAAACCTGTTGCTTTCATCTTGTGCTTTTGAAAGAAGAATCTAAATGTTCTTTCTAAACCAATAACAAAAGATAAGCCAGCCACAAACAAAACCTAGAAAAGAAAAAAAAGCTAATTACATTCATAAGTTTAGGATGTACACATATATAAAAAAATTAATTCTTCATAACTAATTGCATTTCTTGCACAACTTGTCTTAACACCAAGCGATGCTCAAGAATTTACTAGTAATCTTTTGTCAAGTCAGTCTTAAAGCATTTCTAGCTAACATTCAGAACTCTTCTCTCAGCTGCTTGAAAAGAGTCTACTTTTGTGGTCTCCAACAAGTACAGTCATGTAAAAAGACCTGGTGACAACAGTTTTATCTGTCCTACCATATAAGTACAATCATTATTCACAAGCAGTGCTGAAGCTTAGCACCGCTGACAGCAAAGGTTCATAAAGGCTGAGAGCAGACATGTTACAGAAGCACCTCTGTTCTGTCACAAAGACATCTTCAACATCTTGTACTAATCTACCAAACAGTGAAAAGCCAAAAAATGAGAACAATTGAAGGGCATTATCAGTTACCTTTATTTCTTTTTCCTCTTGTATACTGTTTACTAGTTCCAGTACATTCTGAACACTTCCACTAGTCCCAACTAGTTAGAGCTACTTTCAGTGTCTTTTATCAACAGGACTTGCAATTATTCCAGTTGCAAGCATACACCTAGGTAACATTTTTGGTGAGAAGTAGAGAGTAACTCAGATTTTACTTGATATTATGGATAAACTGTACATTTTAGATATTATTTAATAAACCACTTTCTTACCACCTCTTCCTCTTTCTGATACATATATGGTTTTTTAAGTTTCTGTTAAGGATATGGCAACTTTTCTTGCATAATCTGTCATAACCCGTCATTGTCTCTTCCTACCTAAGTTTTCAACATTTTCCCTAAACAGCATCTTGTATTTCTGCCTTATGCTAGAAAAAGGAAAAATAAGCAATATTTTTTACTCTTCCACTATATGCTTTATTGACAGTTCAGAATAATCCTTAAACTAATGTACCCAAATTCAAATACACATTTTTTTTTTAATCTTCTTTCAGGGAATCTCAGCATCTGATTGTGCTGCTACAGAATTAAATTGACTAATTTTGACCACAGACTAAGGCATCAGAAAAAGAGGATGCAAGCCTCTACCAGGCTGTGCTCTTGGCTGGCTGGTGAAGCCGAAAACATCAGAGGCACAGAGATTATCACATTCAGAAAATATACTGTCATTTTCTATTTGCTTTGGATTGGGAATTTTGTGTACCAGAACTAGAATTTATTTTCTAGTCTTCTTTAAGTGAAAATTTTGATTTGGTAAAAATGAAAGATATTAAATCTCTCTACAATGAAGGGTGATTGGCTCTTCTGAATCCAAGCTATCAGCAAGTCATACTCCTTTCTTTCGTCATAAAGTACAACAAAGCTAAATTTGCTACCATATACAGAATACTATTCTTACCCAAATATATTTGTAAGTTTGACAGCTACAAGATCACAAAAAAGAAAGCATTAGTAATCACAGCCAATCTAAAAGTCATATTTGCAGCAGCATAACAATTGTGGAAGAAGCTGCTTCTTGTCTGACCAATATACTGCAGGCCTGACCCGGAGGTACGACGTTTAAATTCATGTGAACTGTTCTAACTTTAATCAGGAAAAATGATTTATCACTGAGCATAACTCTTCCTTTATAAAAAATTGCCACAGTATTTTTTGTGATCCAGTTTCAAACTGACAAAATGTTTCTTTAACATATCATATACTTCATTCTAAGCAGTGCAGAATCTAAAACTAAACAGAAGGCACTTACATTTCCAATAGCCAAAAGAGCTTTGTCAAAGAAGAGTATCATTCCAAAGAAAAGGAAAAACACTCCAAAGCCTGTTAGTCCCATTCCAATCTCTGAAAAAGGAACAGATTTAGGTATACAACAAAACACGGTACCAGGAAAAACTCATGCATAAAAACTGTGAAAACCTTACATCATTCACCCTACAGATATTTTAAGTTTATAGAAAAACTCAACCTATTTTATGACCACCTAAAACATTCCTGAATGTACAAATATAGCAATTCTTGTAGACACCAATTACTTCAATATCAGAAAGATCTTTGGAAGCTGCTTATCAAAAAAGTATGTATTTGGCACTATGTACTGAATCAGATGCTACAAAAAAAACATGTGTGCATATATACACACACATAAAGACATCCCTTTTGCTTTACTGCTGGTCTGAAGGAAATAATTGTTTCATGAACAGATAATGAAACTTTGCTTTCCATTTGCAACTCTTATCCCATTACTTTTACCACAGTAACGTAAGTACCCAGTCCTTTCCATCCTCCTGAGATCTCACATCCACCCCCCACAATCTTGCACAGAAGTCCTACAACCCCAACTTCTGGCTTGAACACAACTCAGATTAATGCTGTAGGCTGTTACCAAGTTACACCTGCACTGACAGCAATAAAATACTAGCCTAGCTCTGCAGCCAGTTGCCAGCTTTCACAAAACTCGTAGACATGAGTACCTTTGAATTCTTCCTGTCTGTAAAGGTTGCTCCAGAAACACTGGAAGGGCAAAGTAGGATGGGAGGCTTGTCTGAGAAACTGGGCTAAAAAAATCAAGCTATGATTAAAACCACCATTTCACACTAGCCTCTAAAGGTATCTTGAAGATCATACTTAAAAATATATACCTTACTTTTAAAATTAAACCTCTAAGGCCTTTCTTTAACTTTCACAAAGACTGCACGGGAGTGAAGTTAACAGGAACAACAGCAACAACAGCAACATGGCTGCAACAGCCTTTGCATTTATCCATGCACTTACATTGCTATCTCTGTCATCAGAGAATTTAGAAACCTGTAAGACACAAAATCAGCCGTAACACTACAAGCAGCTTGCTAGCCCAGTTTGTCTGTGCATATATATCTTTTGAAGATTCCAGTAGTTTTGTATAGTCTAGCCTGAACCAAACAAAAAACCCCACCCACACTATCATAGCCTTCACTGCTATTGTCTGCAAGATCTACTTTCAAATGTATTTTGGTTGCACTTTTGATTGCAATTTAGACCTAGTTGATAATTCACTGTTGCTTGAAGAGCTCAGCAGTATCATTTTGCCTGTTTCAGAACTTCCCTTTACTTATAGCAAAAAATTTTCAAAACAGCTCAAACAGATTTGTTACAGCACCATTCAATTTCCCTAACTTCTGTAAGGGCTCATCTTTCACCAAGGCTGCAGACAACATGGTATTAAATCTGTAGTTCTACAGTATTGTCTGCCACTTTAAGCTTTTGCTATGAGCATTTTAACCACCCAGAATCAGAAATACTTAGTAACCTGCCACAGCTGATTTACTACAGACACTCTCAATACCTGTTTACAACAAAAAATGGAATTGCAAATTGTATTTTCAATGAGTCTGCTGACTGAAGGCAAGATAACAATTGCAGCCTGCCCTTTTCTCTAGTACTCTATACTTTAGAAGAGCAGAAACAATCTGTATTCTGGGAGGAAAACACTTGGTGGCAGAACTCCAAGGGAATTATCAGCTGCCAATAAGATAAATATGCGGTCATGGGAAGTGAGTATTCATTCCCTCAGCAGACATGGCACAAAGTAGCATCTAGCAAGAAAGCAGAGGCCAACTAGCAAGAGCTGCTGCAATTACTGCTCTGACATTTCTCATGTATTCATTTGAAACATGTTTGCAATCACCTACTGCTACAACAGATTCAGTTTCACTTTCAAGGAGTGGTCCAGGACTATTATTCCCAATCTCTCAATAGAAGGTATTACTGACTTGGTTAGTATCAGAATTTGGAAATATATTTGACTAGCATTCTTAAAGGCAGGGGGGAAGCACTGACATATCATACCTAATCTGTGCAACAATGAACAAGGAATTCTTCTAAGTGTGAACCATTTAGAAATGCTTTCTCCTGCATCAGAAGAGCCTTCCTGTATTACTCAAATACAACATTTCAATGCCTAGAAATGCAGAAACACATACTACCCATGTGACATTTGACCTGGATTGTTTAAAAGTGATTCTGATGTACTGAGAAGAGAGCAATGCTGCCTGAACCTTTCTGCAGAAACCCTGTAATCTCTGCAAGCTTACTGCAGCACTATACCAAAACAGCTTAGTAAACACTGAGGCTTAAAATGAAGATACATTGCTTGAGAAAGTTCAGGGTAGACAATGCACATCCTTTATCTCTTGTGTACAAAATAATGAGACTGCGATAGGCTCTCAGAAGAAAAACATTAAAGCAGTTTATAGGCTATATGAAGTTCCCATTTTTAATTATTATTTTTCTAGCTGTGTTTTTTAGTTTTCCCCAAATTATTTTTTCAATACTAAGTGCATTCTTTTGCAATTACTGGTGATTTATACACCATTCCATGAATCACTTAAGAAGTTCTAGACTACAGATGCAAATTTAACTTTTCAAGCATCATCTAACAGTGGTCCTCTTCAGATATTAATCACACTACCACACCAGTGACTCTATGGCGGCTAACTCCATATTTTTCCAAACAGCAGTGAGCTTAAAAATACCTGGTGAAATATCTCCAGAATTTGGGAAAAATAGTGGAAAACTCAAACACTAAAACACCCTAAATTCTGCAGTATTTTACTTCCTACTCTTGGCTCTGCCAGTTAAAACCAACAGTCAGTACTGAAGTTAGCTGAAGCTCTCAAATGAGGAACTTTTCTCTCCCTGAATACCCTGGGCAAGAAAATAGGGGAATGGGCAAAAGCAAAGCCGCAAGGGTTTAACCAATCGGAAATCTAAAAATAAACCGCAAGGGTTAGTACCCATCCCATTAACAGAGCAAAGAACCTCATTTTCTCAAGAAATCACTGACCTTGGATGCTGCTAGCTAGCCTGCTTTTCTGCTCATCTTCGTCCTTGGCCTTGAATGGCTCTCCAACACCTCCATTCCTGCTGTCCTACCATCCAGTTAAAGTTAGTTCTTTTAATTTTCATTTCTATGTCCTTTGCACTTACCCTCCTTCATAACCAATACTATGGTGCTTATCAAGCATATTCATCTCCTTTCACGGCAACTGTGCCAAAAATGCACCATATGCAAGACGTTAATTTAAATCAAAGGCCAAACATTCTTCTTTAACTTGCAGTTTAAGCTCTTGGGAACCTCTTCACTTTGATTTAGTTGTATTTTCCCTTTCAGTATCTCTATTAGCAAAACTATAGCTACATAAAAGTACTTCTTCAAGACCAGGTTGGACAGGACTTTGAGAAACCTGGTCTAATGGAAAGTGTCTCTGCCCATGGCAGGGGGGTTGGGAACCAGATGGTCTTTAAGGGCTCTTCCAAATCAAATCACTTTATGATTCTGATTCTTTCTTGCACTTCAGACTGAGTATCTTCACTTTCAGCCCCCCTCTGTCACCTTCCAACATCCAGCATTATAACAGGAAGGCAAGAGGAACACAGTCAAGCCAAAAACATACAATTAAGTGATTCAAAGCCACCAATGTCCACATGCAGGAACAGTATAAGATTTCAGCTAACTGCTACTTTTGCTTACCGTTCATCTTTCATTCATTCTCGCCATCCTCACACCACAGCATCCCTTCCAGCACCCAGGAGCTCGCAGCCCAAGGCAAACGCCAGCAGCGGCGGCGCTGGTGCCGCTGCTCTCCAAAGGACGGGACAGCCGGTCCCGCAAGGGGCTTCGCTGTACCCCTCCATCCTGTTTTACCCACAACTCACGGTACCGCTACTAGCCCCGAGGCCGGCACCAGCGCGGTTTTGACAGCCCTCACAAAGCAGCAATACCGACAAGGGCAGCTAAGAAAGCCCCGCCTGCGCCCTCAGGTTTGCTTATTTCCAACCGGTGCTCATCGGGGACCGCCGAGGGGTGACAAACGAGTGTACCGATGGCTGTCCATCACCTGCACAGGCCAGGACCCGCCTCAGTGACTCCCCTCCCGGCGCCGCGCCCAGCCTGTACACCGAGCGGGCGTGGGCCGAGAAAGAAGCGCATTCCGCCACCCGGCCCCGCCCGGCGCCCTTAGCCCCAGCCACTCCAACAGCTGCAACGGACATGCCGCGGAGGCGCGAACCACAAATGAGGGCCCGGTAGGCTCCGGGAGCACCCGCTCCAAGCTGCGCGGCCACCTCCGGGACACCTCCATAGCCCCCGCCTCCCCGCTTCCCGGCACGGCAGCCCCTAGCCCCACAGTGGGCAACCCGCCTCCCGCCGCGGACTACCGGTAGCGAGGTGCGGCTCTTACTCTGGGTGTCGGAGAGGGAAATCATAGTGGCGGCAGGACTAGGAGCGGGACACGGGAGCGGAGCACAGAGCCGGCAACGGCCACGTCTTCCGGAAACACGCAGCCCCCTTCTCCTCGCCGCCGGCTGAAAGGGGGTCGCCGATTGGAGGAGCCGGCACCAATCGATACCCGCGTTGTTCGAACGGCATGCCGTCGCTATGCCCGCCTCTCTGCTTTCATTACCTCAGACGGAAGCCTCGCAGCGCCGGCACGGATTGGGGGATAGGGGATGCACGTGGCCACCCTTGCACCAGCACCTTCCTGGCGATTGGCTAGAGGGATGCCGGCAGTGGAAGAAGCGGAAGCGGAAGGGGGTATGGCCTGCGAGCCGGCGGTACAGGTGCGAATTGGGAGCTGGTGCTGGTGCTGGTGCTGGTGCTGGTGCTGGTGCTGGTGCTGGTGCTGGTGCTGGTGCTGGTGCTGGTGCTGGTGCTGGTGCTGGTGCGCGGGAGCGGGGAGGGCGGTGCGCGGTCCGGCACTGACCGTTTGTATAGGGAGGGAGTGAGCGCGGCGCTCCCCAGGGCTGACACCGTCGCGCGGGAGGAAGCGGTGTGAGCTGAGGCCGTTGGCAGCCCCCTTGCCGCCCGCTTCACCTGCATGGTGGCTAGAGAATCAGAGTGGTTTGGGCTGGAAAGGACCTAAAGACCATCTGGTTACAACCTCTTGCCATGGACAGAGACACCTTACACTAGACCAGGTTGCTCAAAGCCCCGTCCAGCCTGGCCTTGAGCACTGCCAGGGATGGGGTAGCTTCTCTGGACAACCTGTGCCAGTGCCTTACCACCCTCACAAGGAAGAATTCTCTATAGCTAACCTAAACTTCTCCTCTTCAAGTTTAAGCCCATTACCCCTTGTCCTATTGCTACAGCCCCTGATGAAGAGTCCCTTCTCCCCATTTCTTGTAGGCCCTCATTATGTACTGGAAGATTGCTCTAAGGTCTCCCCTGAGCCTTCTCCAGACTGAACAGCCCCAGGTTTCACAGCCTGGTTTAGTATGGGAGGTGTTCCAGCCCCTTATTATCCTTGGGGCCCTCCTCTAGATACCTCTGATTAAACTACTGCCAAGGTGACACATCTTGCTTGTGCAGGTATTGTCGGGTTTTTTTTTTTTTTCACCCTAAGTTGTGATTTCTTGGTTTGATAATGATCTGTTAATGTCACTTCTTAGAATAGGACCATTTTGGAGTCTTGGCAGAAGATGTTGTGAGAAAGCTTCCAGTGATGGGACACTGATTTAAGTCTGTGCAGAGTGAAAAGCGATGCTGGTTACTAACCTGTCCTGGTTTAGACACAGCCATCACGTATCTGCTTAGAGGTCTCTTCTCCCCCAGCTGGTGGGCTATTAAGAAAAAGGCTGTAATGGGATGAATTGGCAGGAATTCAGCTGGTTTTTTACAGAGAGGTAAAACTGTTGGATGGACAAGGTACTTCCACTTGCCTTTTGTCCACTATAGTTTATAAGCAATGTGTTAATTTTTATTCAGTTTCTTAGGAGCTGCATTTTTGAGGAGTCAAATGGTAATTGGGGGGTCTTTGGTGGCAGTGGTGTTACAGAATTAATTATAAGGTACACTGCACTACTTCCCAAGACAGAAGCCAAATTAAAGACTCATGGAACTTCAGCAGCACATAGGGAAACATTCATAGGTAATTTTCATTCTCTGTACACTCCTTGGATAAGAAAATGGATTATGTCTCCTTAGCTGTCAGCCTAGTGGTATTTGTGAGGTTTGTGTTTCCTAGAAGTGTAATGCATTCAAAGTGTGTCTGTTCCACACCTACTGCTTTTTCTGGAATGGCCCTGCTTGCTCTGTACTTTGGGGAGACTCATATTTACAAATACATTTGTGCAGGTGACAGGTGGTGTGAAGGCAGAACTGTGTAACTCGAATTATATAATGTGGACACTGCTGAGTTGTATTATACAACAATCATCTTTCTGAAGTGTGGGCCTTTAACTTATAATTAAAAATAACCTCTTCTGGCAAAGTCAATGTTTTAGTCACATGTTCTTTTTTTATATATATTTCCCCCTCATTTACTGGAATGCAGTAAAATATTTGTTATGGTAGAATCTGCTTATAGTGATAGTCGGCTGAATTTGTACCCTTTCACTTTCCCTCAGATATGGCTCCCATGTATATAATAAAAAATTCAGAATTCAGCAAGAGTGAGACAGTATCAAGTTTCTTGGGTTTTGTACTGTTAGCATATAATATGAGAAAGAACATTGCTCAAAAAATAAATTTTAAGTCTTTGAAGAGACAAACCCCGAAGTATGTCGAAAGTAGGTGAATGACTGGTCTGTATTAGACAGTGCCTTTCACAGAAAATTTATGACTTGGTCAAAATTAACTGGGTTTCGTTTAGCCTGTAGCCTGAGGAATTGGATGTGAGTTGGTATCTCTCCCTTTCGCAGCATGAAAAAAGCATGTTTTCGTCTAGTTAGGCCTATTTATATAGGCAGATTAAGGAACTATTGCTTAAACCGTTGTGTTAAGACCTTGTCTATTAATGAAAAATCTCGTAGTAATTTTCTTTGAAGTTTAGAAGGATTACTCATGGAATAATTTTTATTTATTTATTTATTTATTTTATTCTTAGTGATAGTTGTTCGATTAAATAAAGTCTCCTAAGAATAACAACATTTTCCAGCCTCCAAAGATGGCAGCTGTTGAAGGTAATCCAAAATTACTATTCAATATGTTCATTTTGCTATACTTTACCTAACAGACACAATCACCTGATGTTACTGCTATTTATATGAATTTGATGGATGCAGAAAGGAGTGTGTGGAGTTTATGCTATTATATTTCAGATTTAAAGGAAAAGTTCTTTTACTGGATAACTTTTTATTGCTTAGATAAAAAGTAAAACAAAAGCAGGTTTGTCAAAGAAATTATTTGATTTTCAATAATTTGAAAATATGCTTAATATTTTAAGATACTTTCAGCTCTTTCCTGCTGTGTAATAGTGGGCATTTAGGAAGACAAACATCCCCATTTTTTGCCGTTTGTAATGAGGATATCTTTTTCTATATCATACGTTTTTGCTTCCGTAAGCACATTATCATACCTGCTATGCTTGGACAAAAATCTTGTATTTTGTGGGGCAGTGAGGAGGAAAACGTTTCTTCTTATGCTTTTCTGACCTGGCTCTGAAATAGTGGCATCTGCTTGGCATACTGTGGTATGTGTTAATTACTCTTTTAAACCCTGGGGACTGGATTCTACAACACAGTCTGTAATTCACACACATGCATATTAGGATGTAAAGAGGCAAATTCCCACCAAAGATTCGCTTGTGTAACATAAGATTTTGGGGAGTATTTGCCTCAGGTTTTTCAGATACGAAGAAGGGCTTGTGTTTGAAAAAGCATTTGTCCTCTGTGTTCAAACCTTGACATTCAGCAGATTCTCTGGTTCTGCATAGGAGGGAGATCTGAGTGCCTAAAATGTAGTTTTTTGTTAACAACACTATTTCTGCCTTCAGAAAACCTTTACTTGCTGAGGTTCATGGTGCTTCTCACATGTAAATGCTTTCTAATAAATATGTTCTAATGTGCTCACCTTGGAATTGGCTGGAGTACTCATCTTCATTGTAGTGCAGCTTTAATATCAGGGCTTATGCAGTGTGCTTTATTGGCTGGAGTACTCATCTTCATTGTAGTACAGCTTTAATATCAGGGCTTATGCAATGTGCTTTTCAGTGCTTAATATTCATCTGCAGAAAAGAAAATAATTTCAAGTGTTTCTCTGGAGAGGCACTGCTTTTGGGAAAGTGGATTTTAATATACTTTTTCTCTATTTACTAATGAAGGCATTGGTAGTGTTGCGTATCTCTAATACACCATATCGGAAATGAAAACTTACAGCATAGCTGTGTATATATGACCTACCAATGTAAGAAATATGTTGTTAGTCTTGCTAAGTATTTTTACATGGCATATGCAATATTAGATGCTATAATCTCATCAGTGGGCCTGTCAGGCTTTCTTGTTTCTGTAGGTGTATTTGGTTTGTTTTTAATTTTTATCTCAATCAACAAATCAAATAAAATATCATTTAAAACTGGGATTAACATGTTACTGTAGTCTCTATATTGCCTTTAACTTGCTTTTCCCTTCAGTGCTGGAGGAGGTACTGGTCTCCGTTGAAAATGAGCTGCAAGCAGTGGAGATGCAAATTCAGGAGCTTGTAGATAAACAGCAAGAACTCATCGAAAAGAAGATGAGAATAAAGAGTCTGATAAAGCAGTCCTCAGGAGACTTGGAGGCAGGTGGAAGTAAAGACACTGAAACCTCAGCTGAGGCATGGAACAAAAAAGGTTTGCAGGGACAAATTCAAATATTCTAATATAGAAATAAACTAATTCAGTAGGGAAAAAAATGTGTTCATACAGAATTTTGTTTGGGTAATGGTATTTGTCCTATTTAATTTTGTTCAGCTGGGTGACCTGTCATATTCATTACGCAGGGTAATGTTTGTATGTAACCCCCTGGACATTCATAAATATTAATCTGAGTTCTTCTGGGCAGAATTAACATAAGAATGGCCTGTTTATAACTACTTTTATTCTTCTATTGATGCAAAGTCACAACTTGATTGGATTTGCTGTAAGAATCCCAGCATAAATTTGGATATACTGCCATACTTATATTCCCTGTTTATCTTCTAAAAGTAATTACTCTGGATCTTTTCAGGATTTGATAACAGTTTCGATTTATCAAAGTTGCTTCTTGCTGTCTTTGTGTTTCTCGCTTGAGTGGGTAGGACATTGGTTGTGTTTGCCGTGGGTCATGTAGCTTCATTGTGTTACCAAACTAATGCAGATTAGATGGATGCTGACTGCCAAAAGTAATGTAGAATACATTAGTATGGTAGAGTTAGTCTAAGTGGCAAGTGCCTCACGGTGATACGAGGGCTTCTGTTCTTTTGGAAGTGGTGTCTTTCAAGTTAAACATTAACTGAACTCCTGGATACTTGGTGGGTCTTGACCATGTTATGCCTAACCAAATTAAATTCTGTTCCTTTTACTGTTTTTTCCCTCTCTTTTATTTCACTTGCAATTTGGAAACACGTTGCTAGCTTCTGCCTCTATCTATTGTGTGTATTCTCTTTTTGTTTTCTTTTTTAAAAATTAATTTTGTAGTCTAATCCGTATTTGTGCTTGAGAAAAGTGTTCTGCATATGTAAGAATACTGACACTTTATAATTGCAGATTAATGCTATTGAACAAATCAATTTGTTTTGGATAGCTTTGTGCCTAAATCTCTCCTCCTATGCTTTGAAAACTAACATCTTTGCAATCAGGTGCTGTGTACATGTTGAATAAGAGCTGTTCCTAAATTTGGTCCCAGTATAAAGCTGAGTGAAGTCAGTGGGAGGATTTTCTTGGTTCCAGAGAGCTTTGGATCTCAGCTGTGCTCTTTGGAACCTCAAGTCCCAGGGTTAATGCTTGCGCTGCGCATGGTGTAGCCTGGAGTTTCCCCAGTTGTTCTGCATTTTAATTTTAATAATGTGAAAATGGTTAATACTGTTCTTGATGCATCATTTAAGTTTTTACAGTATTACATCATTAAATGAAGCAGTCTTTAGTGAAGAAAAGAATGTTGGGGTCATTATTTTGGGGGTGATTAAACTTCTCCTTCCCCCCTTTTAAAACAAATGCTTATTATCACTGAAATATATGAAAAAATGTTAGCCCTGCTTTTATCATACTATTTGTATTCACTGCATTTGTATAAGGGAGATAGATGTTCAGGCAACCGTTGCAGGTCTCAGTCTCTGGTTTTATTTATTTTCAGGGTCGGCTTCTGATTTCCATTTAGTTGTGGACTAAGCAGTTAACTTGCTCATTAGCAATTTGAGGTGCTTCATCTGCTTGTGGGTGTTTTCACACTAGTTCATACTTACGTGCAATGAGAACGCTTAGTCTGGAGGTGGATTGTATTTACATTTCATAGGGTTTTCAAAGGTCCACCTTAGAAACTGGTTTATAGAGACTCAGGTTGTGTGTGGCTTTTTGTGTACCATTATTGAATCTTTGAACACCTTTCCAGATCTAAAATTGTGTTGCTTCCAGATTTAGTTACTGTACATGTAAATTGTCCTTCTTTCTTGTATTTTAACTTGTTATGAAACATGTTTTGCTTTCTTTTTTTTTTCCCTTAACAGATTTTCCATGGTATGAGAAGCTAAACACAGCACTGCGGGGCAAATTTAAACTCCAGAAGTTTAGGTCCTTGCAACTTGAAACAGTAAATGCTTCAATGGCAGGAAAGGATGTATTTCTTGTCATGCCTACAGGTGGTGGAAAGAGCCTTTGTTACCAGTTGCCAGCTGTCTGTTCTGAAGGTATGTAAGGGAAGAAAAGATCGTATATAGACAACCGGATTTATTTTCTCCTTTTTGTAGTTCTTTGGAGAATGAACATTATATTGGTGTGTAATATCAGTGTATGAGAAAAACAGCAAAAATGGACTAGAAACACTTGTTTTTCTCTCTGTTTATTTTCTGTCAATGAGCAATAGTAGCTTTAAAAGAATGTGCCTTTTACGTATAATTTAGATTTAAGTAATTTATCTATGTTCCTCTAAACACTGAAAAAACTTTTTAAACATTTATTACTTCTCCTTTCTTTCTCTTTTAATCAATGTACTGACTGTAAGTTATCGAAGTATGAATATCTGTTGTCTTTTCCATTCTAAAGTTTTAGCTTCAGATGATTTGGGAGAGCCTTTGTATATTCATTTAAAAAGATAAGTGTCCAGTTCTGGTCTTTAAAAATTTTTTTTTTAATAATCCATCCAGTTGCATGTAATTTTACTTATTTACAAATACATAATTTATCAACACCTAGCATTGCTTAGTTATACTGTAAATTAGCACCTCATGACACGGATGTGAATTCAACTTTCTTTGTTTTGTATATTAATTCTTTCTCTGTTTATTGCAGCTCAGATGTTTGTGGTCTAGATTCTAAGAGAAGTTGCATGTGATGGCCACCTGATAAGAAGTGTCTCCATGTGGCCTAGCAGTCACTTGTCAGCTATATAGGAAGGGAATCTGCTACTGTGTGTATGAAGCTTAAGCTCACTTTTGGCACTTCCTTCAGGACAGGGCTGGTGCATTAGTAAAACATATTACAGGAGATATTTGTGACATCTCAACTGTTCAGTTTACAATGACTGATTGTTACAGGTTTCACACTTGTGATATGTCCTTTGATATCACTTATGGAAGATCAGCTCATGGTTTTGGAACAGCTTGGTATTTCTGCAACTTTATTAAATGCCTCAAGCAGTAAGGTATGTTTAACTGCCACATCTTCATGGGTTTTGTGGTGTATGTGCTGACATTGTGCCTCTGTGCACATTGTTTATGACTACTGAATGAATGGCACAGTTTCATCAGCTGATGCTATTCTGTCAACTGTGCTAAGATTCTTAAGAGGTTATTAACAATTCATAAGGGGTGGTAAACTGTTACATAGTACTTACCACTACTATAAGTCTTTGTAGAGGATCACTATATATAAAATATTAATTTTAATATTTGGAAAATCTATCACAGAACTTTGAAAAAGCAAACCATTGAATATTTGTCTTTCCTTCATCATGTGGTATCAGTATTTTTCCAATAAACTATAATGTAACAAACACACCTGTGGTAATACAAGTGTAAAATAATTTATTGTACATGACTGTAGTATTTACTATTGAGTTTTTAAAGTGTTCTACCTTAAAGCAGGCTCCAAGTTTGGCACATTGCATCAAGCCACTAAACTATCAAACCCAGCGTCATGTAGAAGTTAATGACCATGGCCTTCTGCTAGTCAGGAAAATATGTAAAAAGTAACTGACTTACTGTAGAAAGTAATTGACTAATAGCAGACTGGGAAATAAGTTGCTTCTTGGTCTCTGGGTCAAACAGCTTCCTATCCAAAAGTATGATAAATAATTATATTTAAAAGCCTGCACTGTTCAACATGTTACTAATGGACAAAAAAGTCACCCACTCCAGCCTTTTTTTAAGTCTAGAAACAGTAAAAATGTACAACACACACCAGCTAAAGGGACTTTACATCCTCTAAATAGCCCCATGAAATCTATTTATTCCATTAAAGGTGTTGGTTTAATGTGTTCTTGTTATTAAAACAAGAACACAAGACACTTATTCACATTATCACAGCACATAGCTGGCAAGTTGTCCTAGTTTGTTAGCCCCTGATTTCTCCTTTTGTTTTGAACAGGAACATGTGAAGTGGGTTCATACCGAAATGCTAAACAGAAATTCCCAACTGAAGCTCATTTATGTGACCCCGGAGAAGATTGCAAAAAGCAAAATGTTCATGTCAAAGCTAGAGAAGGCTTATCAAGCAGGGCGCCTTGCTCGCATCGCTGTAGATGAGGTCCACTGCTGTAGTCAGTGGGGCCATGACTTCAGGCCTGGTATGCTCATTAGAAATCCAGTTTCCAGTTTGCAGTTTCAGGCATCAATACTGAATGAGGCCTGAAATAAAGCCAAGTGCTTTCTTATGTGTGAAGCAAATACTTAGTGTAATACCTGTGTTAGCTCAAGGACTTTAAATTTAATGTACAAATGACTATATCCCTGTCCAGGAGTTAAGTTCATGCAAATGGGGGATGATGCCAATGTAGATTTTTCTGTCAGTATTCTGAAAAACTCCTAATTCAGTCTATTTTAATTGGAACCTTAATAAAATGAAAGTTTTTGGCTGCCATATTTAATATGGACAATACAATCAGCTTTAATCTAATGCTACATGAAAAATATGTCATTCTGTATACCACTTTGTAATACTTTGGGTGACAAGAGCTAGAGCATTCTGTAAATTCATGAGCTATGCTTTGATCACTTCTAAAGGCCCTTGACTTGCAAGGGGAAAAAAAAGGTGCACTTCAGTCTGTTTCCTGTCTTGTCTGTTGTAGAAGACTTACTTACTGGTTACTCTGCCTTTGAAAGAAAACCTGATTTGAAGCAATAGTGATGTAAAGTCAACCTTTGCAGTTTTGTTAAAAAGCGATGTCTGAGCAAAGAGCCATGCCAGTGAACAGGCAATGTGGAATTTGTACCACTGGATGCATTTCTCTTCTAAGGCAGCAAGTGATTGTCAGCACTGAGCCTTTAGAATCTTTCCTTAGTACATTCTGGTCTGTGTATCCAAATTCCATATTGACTGTTTACTATCAGAGCTGTGGTTACTGGAAAGTTGTTTGTAAAAACGGACCTGAAAAATAACCTGAATGGTTGTTAATGCCATGACACTTAATTTTTTCTAACTTCTTAAGGACTTCTATTTCAATATGCTTCGCCTTTTGAATTGGGGCAGCTTCTGTAAAACTCAGTTAGAAGATAAAGCATCTGTTTTGATAAGTGCAGCCTTCTTATTACTTCATTTGGGTGTATAAATTAGTTATTTAGTAAACTGATCGATAATAACATTTATTGCAGTATTACCCTATTGAATACTATCTACCTGAATTACATTAATATCTTTTTTAACTTTGAATCTGTGGTACATGAAATTCTTTTCCCCTTTCTGTTTTCTTGCTTAGACTACAAGTCTCTTGGTATCTTGAAAAGACAGTTTCCCAATACTCCCTTGATTGGATTGACAGCAACTGCTACAAATCATGTTTTAAAAGATGCTCAGAAAATTTTGCATGTTCAAAAATGCATTACATTTACTGCTTCTTTCAACCGGCCCAATCTTTACTATGAGGTATGTCTTAATTTTCAATTATACATTTTAATAATAAATAGCTTTTCAACTGAGCAGTGGTGTTCTTTCATCTCCTCATCTTGCTGAATTTACTGTCATCTGCAGAGGAACTCGGGCTGCTTTGTCTCTATGGGCAAGGCTTAGCAGATAGAAATGTATACAGGGGAGAGGTAGGTAACAGACTACTGCAACCTGTTGGAAAATAAGTCATATGATTGCAAAGCGTTGTGATTCGTTGTGTTTTCAGTTTGGCCACAGGTTCTTTTATTGTTCTTCATGGGAAAACTTGTGGTTTTGGTTTTGTTTTTTTTTCTGTGGACTTTTGAGATGTAATCTGACTGTGCACAAATAGGATATAATAATTTTGGTGCGGAACAGTTGTTTTTACTGTACTGGAAGAAGTAGAATAAATAGGATTGTTTGGCAGACTGTTTGCCCACTTGAAGAGCTCTGATACGTGTATGTTGTATTTTTGAGGTTCGGCATAAGCCTTCAAATAATGAAGATTTCATTGAGGACATAGTTAAGATGATTAACGGAAGATACAAAGGACTTTCAGGTAAAAAATGTGGTTTTTTGTTTTGTTTTGGTTTTTTAAGGTATTTTTTTATAATCTTCAGTGTTACAGGAATGTTTTTGAGTAATCCTGAAACTTGTAGAGAAATTTTACCTTCACCATACCTTAAACATCCAGCATTAGAAGAAATGAAACTTAGTAAGATCTGTACCTCGAACGATTACTCTTTTCATTCATTAGTGTTTAAATGTCTTTACATTTTGCTTATATATTCTGAAGTACTGAAATATAATGTTAATGTATATAGAGCAACGTTTGCATAATAATAGCAATTTTTAAGTTTGTAAAAACAGGGCTCGGAAAAGGTTACTTACATGTTCTTAAATCGTGTTATGTTATTTAGTATCTGTGTGTCAGGATACTTACTATCTTGAGCACTTCTTTTTCACATTTGATCACAAGATTCATGTATTATCCAGTGCCCAGAATAGTTGCGTGTTGGGGAGAATTGCACTTCTGTGATGAAAGCAGAACTGTAAAAGTTGGACTTTATGTAATCAATGAATTATGTAGTACAAATATAAGAGGAGAGCCATATTACAAAGGCACCAGAACCCAGTTTTCCAGATCAGCGGTCTGGCTCTGCTATCGAACTCTGTCTGTGACGAGCAACTCCCTGAGGACAAACTGAGCTAAGATGATCACAAATCATGTGGCTCTGTGTGTAATCCTTGACTTAGCCCAGGCTGACTAATGACAAAAACCAGATATATCTGGAACATCAGGTGAGACATCATAATGAACAGCACCTCTTTACGTAAGCATTAATAACCATTGTCATCCTTGAACATAGAATGCTTCTATAATTATTTGGATTGCTATCCATATTTTCTCTTTAGCCTACAAGGCAAAGCCAAGAACTGAAGTTTCCTTCATGGCTACCATACTGGAGACTGAATAGACACAAAGACTGTTTGCTGGGTTTTATTTATTTTTAAGTTAATAACAATTTCAAAGTTGTTTTTAAGTATTGGGGATTGTTTGTTGTGAGTTTTTTCAAACATTACAATAAGGCATCTCTCACTTTTGTGCAGGAATTGTTTACTGTTTTTCTCAGAAGGATTCTGAGCAAGTTACTATGAGTTTGCAGAAACTGGGAATCAAGGCAGGGACTTACCATGCAAACATGGATGCTAAATGTAAGAGCAAAGTTCATAAAGGATGGGCAGCAAATCAGATTCAGGTTAAGTAGATATTTCTTACAGACCTATGGTTTATTTAAACAAATTGTGGTTTGATACCTTGATGGTTTCTTAATCTTTTTTTCAGGTTGTAGTGGCAACTGTTGCTTTTGGCATGGGAATTGATAAACCTGATGTGAGGTTTGTAATTCATCATTCTATGAGCAAATCCATGGAGAACTACTACCAAGAAAGTGGACGTGCAGGTATTGTAGGAAATGGCTTTTGCAAAGCTGCCATTTCCATTCATTAAACAAAAAAAAAAATTGCACTTTGATTTCAGTCATTTGTGTGAAGTGTCTTGTCTTTGAGGCAGGTTCCAGAGTGTGTAATGCAACTCTGCCTCTGTAAAGAGGCTTTGAAGCAAACTAACCAGCCGTTTACTCAGCATTTGTTTCAATTACTTGATTTTTGTGGCATCTGTGGGTTACCAGAGTAATTTCATAACATGACATTGACTGATCAGATGTATGTTATAGAAAGGATTTTTTTTTCCTTGCGTAGCGGTGGGGCTGTGTGACCTGCTCAGATTGATTCTAGGTGATATCTAATTGCTGTATGCATTTCAGTAGCCACAGAAACACAAGTAGGATGGGGAGTCTGGAGCAGGGAATTTTAAGGATTGATCAGTGTATAGCAGCACTTAATAGCTGTTACGGCTATTTTATTTCTAGTCTGTGTCATGCTATGTTCTGTTGCCTAGTGTGTTATGCTTGATACTCTATTACCGTCATGTCCTCTCTATGTAGGGGTTGCAGAAACCCATCCGGATAAGAGTGATATTTGTACCAAAAAAAAGCTGTACTTAAAATAAACCTCTTCTAATTTTATTTTGTTGTTGTTATTTTTTTTAATGCATTGCAGGCAGAGATGACCAAAAAGCTGACTGCATTTTGTATTATGGTTTTGGAGATATATTCAGAATCAGCTCAATGGTAGTGATGGAAAATGTAGGGCAAGAGAAGCTGTATAATATGGTGTCCTACTGCCAGAATCTGAAGAAGTAAGTTACTGTGGTGGTTTGGTTGCTTAGTTTGTAAGTAGGCCAGTTAGTGAGGTTTTATAGAGGGCATTTGAAAACAAACAATTAAAAACACTCAAACAAAATAAGTAAAAGCCAGCAATAAATCAAAGAAACTCCTCCCTCCCTCCCCCCTCAGAACAGAGGGGGGAAGGGGGGTTTTTGCCTACTGTACCAGACTCTTGAGTTTGGAGTTTGTGGTTTAGCTGCTCAATACATGTACTGTTGCACATAACTGACTGTTGGTGTGTTGCTTGCCAGCTTCAGATAAAGTTCTGGAAGCAGTTATGTTGAGGTGAAACATCTGTTGACAAACACTGTTTCGATTATAAATCCCATTCAGAGTGAAAACTGGAATGCTTTGGGTTTTACTCCTAAGGTACCAGTGTTCAGTGGCCATACAGGAATCACATGTGCTTTATCTGCTGCACTGAGCTATTTGCAATACTTAATGGAAAACACTTGTATATGTGTTGTGGGTAACCTGGGCATTCAGTGTACCCTTTGTTGGCCTCAGACTAAGAATTAGTCCATATTCTTATGATTTTTTTTCTTCTGTAGAAATTGCAGATTACTTTTCTGTTTTAACCAATCTGTTCCTACAGTGGTGTTCACTATTACTAAAAGCTGCTGGTTATTCCTATTAACACAGCGGACAGGGAATACTGTGTAGCAGTATTTGTTTTCCCTCATGCTTGTTTTAAGATATGAGCTGACCCAAGGGACCTTCTTTTTGCCAGTTTCATGATTTATAACACAGGTGTATACACTTATATTCTATAGTCATTTGCTTTCTGCTATTTCAGGTGTCGCCGAGTCCTCATAGCCCACCATTTTGATGAAGTATGGGATTCTGCAAACTGCAACAAAATGTGTGATAACTGCTGTAGGGAGAGCTGTAAGTAAATTGTTTTTATAACCAGGGATGGTGACCATGGAGAAGGTTGGCTTAAAGAAATACCTACATTAGAAAAAGTGTGAGCAACTTCTGTGAAGTGTGCTCATAATACTGCCTGTTTCCAATGTGCAAATTTTGTTCTGAACATCAAGCTTTTATGACTTAATACTGCTGAGTTCAGGGTGTTTAGTAGGATCCTTTCTGCTTTTTGCTTGGGGCCAGACGCTTTGGTATCTTTCAGGCTCAGCTAGTCACCTGTTCCCAGAAGTGAAGTGGGGGCAAGAGGGAGTTTGGCTTACCTGTTTTAAAACAATTCCGGCATGTGTCGGGGTTTGTTTCAGGATTTGTTTGGGTGTTAAAGCTTTATTTTGAGAGGGAGCCTCTTGCTCTCAGCATGCAGAACTGTTCACACTTAGGCTGTGAGAACACACAGTTTGCATGTGTCCTCTTACAGCTTGCCTGCTAAAACCTCTGAGCATTTCAGTGCTGCATGCTCATGAGACGTACCTGTGCAGAACAGCTGAGCACACTAATTCAAGATTTGGCCATGTGTTAGCCTTAACTGCTAGCTGTCTAGTGTGCACTCTTCCTTTGAAAGAAAGATGGGATCGTAAGAGGGAAGGCATATGGGCTGGACATAGAGGGAACTGGGAAGATGAATGGAAACAAGATCTGCTGCATGGTAAAGGAGGATGGTTTCGGCAGAATGTGGTTCTGGGGCATAAGCTCTTTCGCTGCTTTGACCACAACCATCCTGGGCAGTGTTGGGTAGCTAGCTTAAACTACCTTTCATGGGTGATCACTGCCTGCTTTAACTGTCATTTTTGGTACTCATCCAGAAAGCCATTAAGTTTCTGAAGATGCATAAAGTATCTCTTGCTGGACTTCCTAAGTGTGAGCTGTGATTTCAAAATAGGAATCCCCATCTAAATCTAGAAAACTCTGGAAGGAGTGCTGGGAAAAAGTTGATCTTGGGCATCTCTAACTGAACACACAAAACCACCTTAAATTTCTTTGAGGACCCAGTGAATTCTTGTAATATGTAAAAAATACCATCTCCTCATACCACATACCTGTGAAGCATTTGGATAATCTAGAGATCAACACTTGAAAAATTAAGGAACACCTCTATATTCAAAGCTGATCTCATAACTAGACTTTATTTCCCTGTACACTTTTTGGAGGGGCAAGGTAAACAAAGATATTCAGCTTCTTTTTTCTTTATAAAGTTAACTATACATCTATATAATAAACCTGTTTTGCAAATTTGTGTAAGTAACAATGTCTTGTTCTGGTTGGAAATAGAGCTTAGTTAAAGTTTATACTGGGATCAGAGGTTGAGAAGAGTATGGAGCTGGCTTGTACCCAAGACTCACAGGAACCATGTGACGAAATATAGTTGAAATATGTCCTGTTAACTGCTGGTTTTACCCCCAGGGTCTCTGGATATCTAAGCAAGGTCTGAGGAAACCTAGCAGTAGTACTGGCTGTTCAGTACTTAATTCTTAGTATTGGATGAGGCAGTTGGGTAATTCTATGTCATAATCTGATCATGAAGTAGAAGCATGATCATTATGAACTACATGGATGTGTTGGAGCTCAGAATAATTATTCATCATGAAGCTTATTTGTATGAATTTAATATATTTTTGGTCTCATTTCGTCCATAACTGTCTTGAGAGAAGAAATGTCTCACTTACAGTCTTCAGTTCCTTTTTGTTCTCTAATATTTCATAATAAATATTATGGGTGAAGAAAAGGCATCCAGCTGCAGAGTAACATAGAAGTTACCTTAGAAATTTTACAGTTTGTAAATGCTTCTTTGAAATAATTTGTGTGGTTTGTAATGTTAAATACATACAAAAACATTTGCAGGACTGGAGTTTTAATAATGAAGTAGAAACATAAATACAAATTTGAGTAAAAACAAATCCTGATTTGACAGAGGGACAGTTATAGCTTTTATTTGTTAAGTTATAGTTTGAAAACAAAACCAAAAAAGCATTACTATTATATGACACAATGATATGTATTTATAGATATACGTCCATATCTATGAATATATAAAAGGGCATATATATGTGTACACCTAGTGTATATATGGATACTATCTAAATAACTCTAAATAATTGGTTATTTAAATATTACTTCACTTTTATTTGTAGCATGCGAGAAAATGGATATAACAGGATACTGCAGGGATCTAATCAAGATACTTGAGCAGGCTGAACACATGAGTGAGAAGCTAACCCCACTGAAATTAATCGATGCGTGGTCTGGGAAAGGTGTAGCAAAACTGAGGGTGCCTGAAGTTATTCCACCCAAGTACCCTCGAGAGGAGCTGGAGAGAATTATTGCCCACTTACTGCTGCAGCAGTATCTGAAGTATGTAAGATGACAACTTCCTTTTTTATTTTTTTTTTAGTATCTACTAGTCATTTGTCATTACTCTGGCGTTGGGTCTACACAGTATTATTGCATACATTCTGTAGTCTCAGTTTTAGCCTTTATTTCAGATGCATTTAATGTATTCAGAAAATCTCAAAAGATTAATGTATTTCAACTTCAGAATGTTAAAACATAAGTTGGAGGAGCATTTGAAATGCTCCATCTCTTGCAGTTTTAAAAAACTGGGGTCTTCTGTATCCAGGTGGAACCTTTAAATCTGCAGCAGGCTTCATTTTGGAGAGGTCTGCTGTTTATATGGAGTCTCATTTACATTCCATGGATAAGCAGAGTAAATGGGGCTGCCCAGATGAAGTCTTAAGTTATATCAGGCTGGCTAATGCAGGCTTACTGCATCTTTTTTTCCTCATTTTCCTCCATGTATTCCAACATACTGACATGTGCATGTATAGAATCATAGAATAGTTAGGGTTGAAAAGGACCTTAAGATCATCAAGTTCCAACCCCCCTGCCATGGGCAGGAACACCTCGCTCTAAACCATATTACCCAAAGCCTTGTCCAACCTGGCCTTGAACACTGCCAGGGATGGAGCATTCACAACCTCCTTGGGCAACCTATTCCAGTGCCTCACCACCCTAACAGGAAAGAATTTCCTCCTTATATCCAATCTAAACTTCCCCTGTTTAAGTTTTAACCCATTACCCCTTGTCCTGTCACTACAGTCCCTAATGAAGAGTCCATCCCCAGCATCCTTATAGGGCCCCTTCAGATACTGGAAGGCTGCTATGAGGTCTCCACGCAGCCTTCTCTTCTCCAGGCTGAACAGCCCCAACTTTCTCAGCCGATCTTCATATGGGAGGTGCTCCAGTCCCCTGATCATCCTCGTGTCTCTCCTCTGGACTTGTTCCAACAGATCCATGTCCTTTTTATGTTGAGGACACCAGAACTGTACACAATACTCCAAGTGGGGTCTCACGAGAGCAGAATAAAGGGGCAGGATCACCTCCTTTGACCTGCTGGTCACATATCTCTGTGTATGTAAAGTTCCACAAACTGAATGATGTTAAGTGTTGACTAGAGTCACTAAATTAACTGGCTGTCCACTTGGAAAGATAAAGGAGAGCCAAGCTGCTATTTGAAACATCACTCAGAAGGTTTAATGCATCCCATTTCTCCCGTGTGGTCTAGCCTGTCTTTGTCTTCAACCTTCCCTCGTAACACTGGTTTTGTTTATGCAGGGAAGACTTCAGCTTCACAGCATTTGCGACAATATCCTACCTGAAGATAGGACCAAAGGCAGGCCTGCTGAAAAATGAGGCACATGTCATAACTATAGAAGGGATAACAAACAAGAAAAGTGTTTACAGGGTATTTATATATGCATATTTATATATACATATTTATATCGGTACTGACTTGCTATATAGGTATCTTTCCATTATAATTTTGATAGTTTGGTATCTGCTCAATATATTTTTCATAGTAATGCAATCAACTAGATTTAAAATAGACTTTGTAAATATCTTCTCTCTTGTGTGGGAATGCTGAAAAGAAGGAAAGCAATGCTAGAATTTGAACAGATTTGTTTGTCACTTACAGGCCAAACCAACTCATTCTTCGAATTCGAAAGGAAGCAGAGAAACTGCTCAGACTGTTTCAAAGACTGTCCAAGACTCAGTGGTGAAGAAGTCACAGGAAGATAAACGGCCTAACTGTGGTTCTAACTTAAAAGCAAAGAAGCTTAAGCTTCAGGCAGGTGGAGATGATCAACCAGTAGTTATTGACTGAGTTTCACAGGCTACATTTAGGACTTAATCATGTTTGTTTCTCCATGGACAATGCAGTGTGTAAGTTCAGTTTGTTTCAGTAATATTATTTTTTTCCTTTTTTTTAATAAAAAACAAAACAAGGAAACAAGTATCTTTAAACCCCTCAAATCTAGAGAAAGTCTAGTAGTCAAGGGAAAAATGTTACATAGCAAAATCATTGGTGCATATCTTACAATAATTACTGTATAATTATGTAAATAATTACCATGTTGTCTTGTAAACTCTTTTGGAAGTGTATAGTAACACTATAGTAGAATCACACAGGCTGGGAGGGACTTGCAGAGATCACCTAGTCCAGTGTCCTCCTCATAGCAGGTTCAGTTGAAACAGGGTGCTCAGGGCTGTGTCCAGTGAAGTTTTGGCTGTCTCTAAGGATGGATATTCCCCAACCCCTCTCAGCATCTATTCCACCATTTGACCACCTTCATAACTACCCCACTTCCCCTCCCACCCCCCAAAAAGGGCATTTCTTAGAGCTAATTGTTAATTCCTGTATTGCAACTTGTCTGTTGCCTCTTGTCCTGCTCTTCTGAGAAGAGTCTGGTACCACTGCTGTTATGCTCTTCCATTAGTTGAAGACAACAGCAAGTTCACAACAATCATATCCTTTCTTTCTCCCTGGCTTTCTTCTTTCTTAATCTGGAAAGATTAAGAACTAGCTTCCTCAGCATCCCTCTGTGCAGCCCATCCAGTCCTGTGGATTTGTGAATGGCCAACTGGCTTAAGTGATCTGTAACTCTACCTTTCTGTACTGCTTTACTCCCACAGACTGTTAGTAGGACCCCTCAGGGACCTGGGAGGCCTGAGGGAAAACCATAGCAGTGAAAATGAGGCAAAAAGTACCTCAGTCGTTTCCATGTCCTATGTCACTAGCTCCCCTGCCCCTCTGAGGAATGGGACCATACTTTCCTTACCCTTCGTTTTGCTCCTAAGGTACTTAGAGAATCTCGTCTTACTGCTTTTCACATCCTTTGCCAGTTCCACCTCCAGATGAGCTCTTACATTTCTAACTCCCTGTGTGCTCAGGCAATGTCTCTATGTGTTTTGGATATCCTGTACCTTCGTTTCTGTGTTGGAGCTAGCTGAGTTCTCTGTTCACCCGTGTTGGCATTCTGCCATGCTTGCTTGACCTTCTGCACATAGGTTTGACTAAACACTATTTGTGTTCTGAGGAGGTTATGGTTTGGAAACCAAGAAGCCCTCTGGAGCACTCTTGCCTTCCAGGGCAGTGTCCCTGGCATACTGAGAAGCAGATCCCTGCACACGCTGAAAAACTGCTCTTCTGAGGTCCAAGGCAATGGTTCTGTGGTGTGTTCCTAACTCCTGAAGCCTAAAATCCTGAATCACACAGTCAGTGAGCAACATCTGGGATCTGGGCACCCAGTACGAAACACCTGTCAATTTGTCCCAGTCAGGTTGGCAGTGAGGGCATTCCCCGGTAACGCTGATCTTCCTTCCTTGTGTGAACACATGGCTTGGCTTCAGCTGGCATCGATGCATCCCTTGGTGTGGAGTTAGTCATCCTTGTCTTCATCAGGGTGCTGCATCTACTCTGCAACAACAGAGCTGCAGGTGAAAAATGAGCCCTTTTGTGTTGCTGGAAGCAAGGTTTCCATCCTTCCCTCCTGTGGGTGTCTTCAGCCATTGCTCCTGTGAGGGTAATCTCTAGGTTTTCCCTCCTTTGCTGCACAGGACTTGCTCTAGCTCTGTAGTGTGTCTATGAAGACCTTGTCTCCTCCTCCTGCTGGCTATGCTGGTGGCTCACCTCCACCCGCTTCTCCTTCACCAGGAGCTCAGCTCTGCAGCCAGGGTGCTCCCACTGGTGAGGCTGCTGGTGCCAGCTCCAGGGAGAGACATCAGACATCCAGAGACGCAGGCTGCTGGAGCATCCATCCTTCCTGCGGAGCTACATGTGGGTCAGTCTCTGCTGTGCCAGGGGCTGTTGCCCTGGCCCACTTGGACATCACCCATCACTGCAACTTTAAGCAGAGCAATGTGGCCCCTTTCTGCAATACTTACATCTGCTACCACATATTGTTGAGTTTCAACAGAGCGTTGTTACAAGACTGCATTACTTCTGACTTACAGAGATTTTTGTGAAATATTGTATGTTTATTTCCCTAAAATACACCCGTTGCTCTTAGAATTGGATTTCTCCAGCTTGTTATTCAAATAGAAAATTACCACTTCTGTGATTTTCAGAAGTACCTAGATTTATGTTTAGAAACAAGGTTTACCTTTCTTAATCTCAGCTCTTTCCTTTGTAAAAGATAGATTTTTGGGGGGAAATACAGAAAAAAGAAAAAATATGCCACTCAAGAAATACTTCTCTCTCTTCTTTGTGCCTGCCTTGCCCTGTTGGGTTGGCTCATTCTAGCTACAGCTGTGTATTCTTATGCGAGGTGGATCTGGTTGTCCTAAGAAACGTCATTCTGTTCTGTAAGCAATAGATCGTGACTTCATTCATACAGTCATAGAATTATTTGGGCTGGAACGGACCATCAGAGGTCAGAGAGTCCAGCTCCCCTGCACTGAAAGCTGCTACTTTAAGCTTTAACAGTGGGCTACATTAATCTTTGGGAGGTTGCTACAGTCTAGTCTCTTAACTCTGCTACCCCACTTATCCCTTTGCTTACATTCCTGTTGTTTGTGGAAGAAAAACTGTATTGCTGCTTGATTGTGGCTTAAAGTAACACATCTGTACCATTTTAAAGAGTAACCTCTTTTCCCTCACCAGCATTCCTTTATTATCAGGTCGTGGTTCTGTCAAAAAGCTTCAGCTACAGGATTTGTGTGCTTCCCTTTTCAGCAGCAGAAATACATATCTGTTGCCTTCCCTTGATGAACATCAGCATTTTCAGAAACAATTAACTGCTCACGGAGTGGGAAAGACCCACCAGCTGCTGCTGACCTCAGGCAGTGCTTGGGAACACATGAGGTTCAGTGCCAGATTTGAGTTTTTTTCTGAGGATCTTGGCAGCCCATGATCAGTAAGGCAAGTTCCAACTCATCATAAACTTAACTTCTGGTAGGTTTCATGTTGGGTCTGCCCCTCAACCCCCAGACATTCATATGTATACCAACCTAAATATGAAACAAACATGGTTAAGAACATGCTCTTCATCTTTATTTTCTGGTAGCATCACATCAGTGACTAAAGCTTAGTATTTCACCCACTGTTTGCCTCAAACCTCTGCCAACAGCAGAATTAATTCATTTAAGCAGTCATTCTCAGTCATTCAGTCATTAAAAAAAGTAAGAGTGATTTTCTGGGAGAAGCCTCAGTATGTGCTGCTAACTTTGAATTTAGTGGAGTACAACAAACTACTCCCAGTTTGACCCTAAACAAACAGCAACACCCAAGTAGCAATTGTAGAATCAACCCAAAAGCCAGTTCTAAACAACCTGTGTCTGTGCATGGGACTGTGGAATACAGAGAGGACTTTAAGGAACAGCTTGAATTGTTGAGCTTTCTCACCTAGGCACTAAATTATGCCTAACAACTAAAGAAAGATCTTGAAGCAAGCCTGTACCTTTGATTGAAAACAAACATCTTAAACCTCCATTTGCAACTTAACAGTAGATCCTTTGTCCCTAGTTACAAGTCAAATTGGAGTTTAGTACCTGCAGAAATTCTCTCCTGGAGCCAAGAGGCGTAACATTGGGAATTGGGAGCAGGCAGGCAGGAGCAAAGATGCACAAGCCCCTATGAATGGTTTTATTAAGTGACTGTAATAGCTGTCTATTAAAAATCCTGTCAGATACAGGACTCACATTCAAAATGGCACTAATACCATCTACCACATTAGCTGGATCCACAGCAGGCTGCTGTGACAGGGAACACTGCTGTGTGTGATATCCAGCAGTGCTGTTGTGTTAGCCTCTCCCTGCAGCACACCGCACATGGATCCTGTTGGAGATTACCCTGGATGCACCAGGGCAGCTCTATCACGATACCTCAGCAGCTAAAGTGACAAGCAGTAGAAGACCTGCTCTCAACTGACAGCTCATCCTGGCTTCAGCATTCAAAGTTTTTGTGTCATGTACTTGGCTGAGTAGAAAATACATTTCAGAGATAAACTTCTGGGAAAGGATAAGATAAAGCATCCATCTTGCCACATCTTTGCCAAGCACTTCCCAGGCAGTGAGAGCTCCAAACGCTCTGTACCTACAGATGCCCTCTGTTTATCTATCTATCTGAGCCAGTTGGGAGAGATTAGCTGGAACAAGAGCCTTGAAACTCATGGCAAGTACTCGCATGTCTTGAGTGCTGGAGGGTGCGAGTGGGATGGCAACACACTGTATGACTGCCTTGTAAACGTTCACCTGAACAGGTGGTTTTAGGAAGCAGGATTTTCTGCCCTAGCCAACTTTGGAGGGAGCTTTGAGCGGATCAGGCACCACCATGATACCACATTACAGCATCCTGGCTGGCTGAGATGAGGAATGTGCTTGGTGGTAAACTATGGGGTCACTGGGCTCTCGTAACCAGGGCAGGTGAGTCTTGCCTGATTTGGGGAAGAAGAGACCTACGAGGCAGGCACAGGATTTAACACATTTCACTCAGTTCTAAAAAGTGACGGCTGCCTTGCATTCAAGTGAATGTGGTGCCACCTTAACGCATAGTGAAGCCCACTTGTTAAGACTGTTACAGCCTTCTTTTCATACACTCATTTAACCCAGATGAAAACTCTTTGCCAACACTAATTCACTTGCTTTTGTTGCCGCATTTTGAAAGTGATTAGTTTAATTTGCCAGTCAGTATTTTGACAAGATCAATACGAAACCTTATTAAGAAACTGCATTTATCCCTGGTATGTTTCTGCTAATCCTGTGGAAACAGTTTTACAAGACATATTACTCAGTATCAAAAGTTTATACAAAATGGAAATGGGGTTTTGTTCAATCAAAATAATCTTCTATATCAATATCTGGATTCAGGAGATCTTCACCATAGGCTGAAAGATCCATTTGATTTAAAATTAAGTTTTCAAAGGTTTCTTCCAAGTCCGTGTCACCGATCAGCACAGCTCCCACCATTCGGCCACTCTGCATCACTGCTTTCACATACTCCTGTCCCTTGGTACACCTCAGCATCAGTTCATGGTCTAAACCCAAGCCTTGAGCATTGTACTTTCCCAAAACCACCACCTAGCAGAAAGAAAATGAGAGCACTCAGAAGAGCATTGCAGTGGCTTTTAGTACTTCTGCCAGTACTGTTCTAAGCTTCAAAAGACTGATGCAAACAGGGAAATATTTGTCCTGGGGGAACCTCCCCCCTTCACAGGTTAAAAATCTTCACCTTGAACTATCATACACAGAACCCAGTAACGAACCAGCTACCATGCTGAACTCTGGCTGACGTTATCCAAGGACAGAAACCTAGTGAAATGGAATCTGTGCACAGAGATGCAGAGTAGAGCAGTTGTCAGTCACCAATTGGAAGTTGTAACACATCTGTAAAGATCATTGCCCTCTTCAGTTTCAGCATTCAAAGTCAGCATGAATGGAGAAAATCTAAACTAAGATTAATTATTACAGAGAGAAGACCGTTTTGTCAATATTAAAGCATCTGCTCAGTGTCAGCAAGTGAAAATAAGTAAGCGACGTGTGTTACTCAGTGGTTGAAGGCTATCAGACTGCGTTTACTTTACCTTGTAATTGAAAAATTTTGTAACATGAGCAAATAGTTCAAAGCTGAAATCCAGATCGATTGATTCCCCTAACGTATCTGCTGCCATGCATTTGGCTGCATACCATCCCATCTGCCTGGCTTGAGTCCACAGTCTCATCTAAAACCAAAGAAAAATGAACTTAAAGACTGAAGAAGACATGTAAGAATGTCTCTGGGCAATGACCTGTTCTCACCAATGCATACAGTGGGTTTATTACACTTAGCAAGGCTGAACAGCTTCTCTTCCAGCCAACTAGATAAAATCATCTGTCACCAAAACATGAGGATTATCTACTTCTCACTGGTTTCCATTTCAGTTAAACTTTCTTTTCTCCCATCTGTATAATTTACTTTGCAATCAGACTGATGCTGAGCGCACACTCGTACAATTTGATTTACCTGATGCCACACTGGACTTGGTTCCCAGGACGCTGTGCATATATCTCCGGCTGCATATATGTCTGGCAGGG